CTACCACTGAGCTGCAAAGTACTTCTTAGAAAGTAAACCCTGCATTCCCAGACCGACACAAAGGTAGTCATGGGTAGTTGCATGGTTTTAGGGATTGCTAAAAGGTGAGGTTTTGAGAGAATAAAATGAAGAGGAGACCTGCTAATAAATCGATAGAAGTACACAGAAATTCAATATCATCTGCAGTTACAGGTATCTTAAATTCCATTTTAACAAAGACAGTCTTTTTCTTAAGATGTGCGTAATGCATATATACATCAATTCACATATATCCTATCTAAAAAAATGTAATTAAAAGACAAAAGTAAAGTATTCAAAAGAAAATGGACTGAAGTCCTCCTTCCAGTGATTAAATTGACCGTTCTTGTGTATATGTTAAACAGGTCCCAGCCTGTTTTGGTTTATAACATCCTTTTATTGTTGGATCCTATCTTCCTTAAGTTCCTAAAGTGGCTGTTGTATGAAGTATATTTCTCTGTTAAATAGTGAAGTGATTGGGTATATTGTGGACACGTAGTCTGTCAAAGATCCTATTCTGTATACATGGAAAAGGACTACGCTATACCAGCAGAGTGCAGGAAAGCATGTTGACAAAAGCCTTGTGAATATCAGATTTGTGTAATGCATATTTTCAGCTTTTTTTTTTTCCTGAAAGCATTGAAGTCTGTCACAAACAATTGAGCAGTTAGTTGTTTGTCCCTTTATAAAACTATGTAATGGCAATCTTTGCATTTTCACTCTCATATATTGTAAAATTCCTGAATGTTGTTATGCACATTAAAACAACCAACCAACCAGCCCCCCACCACCCAAATCCCCTTTAAGCCTACAATGAATGTAGAGGATGAATATTTTAGAAGATAGAAGTACGACAGTGTTTCATTACTATCTTGAAAAGGACCCTTAGGACAAAGACATTAAGAATGCTAATCCTGTTCTTATAATATCTTCCTAAAATGCTGTGCAGTAGAAAATATGTAATTAGCCTTGTAAAATTGTTAGCGAAACTTAAAAGCCCTGAGTGGGGGGAAAAAAACTGTCTGACCCTTACCGTAAGTAGATTATCTTTTTGCCCTTTGAACTCGTGGAATTATAATAACGAAACAAATTCTGCTGTAGTCACCTGTCAAAACTGACACCAAATGTGAGACTAAATGCTTCTGCTATAACCATCGTCCCCCTCCCCTGTATTTTAAATGTATTTATAATATAAGATTGGGAGTAAAGAGTATGGAGCATATATAAAAATTAATTTTGGTGCCTTGAATGCTTCTTGCTTTATAGCTGCCATGGTAGTAGGTACTTTGTAAAGGAATAAAATAATTTTGTGTTATCTAATACGTTAGGGTCAATTCCAAACTAAAGCAGCCAGACAAGTTACAGAAAGGAGGCAGAGATTTGCCCTGTGATAAGTAAATGTATCCCACTATAGGAAAGTACTTCCCAATGTATAAAGTGAGAACTTGGAAAGGTTTGCTCCTAGTCTCTCCACACACTTTACAGTTCCCTAGCCATTCGTTTGCCCTAGTACTTCCTTCTCCCAGTGCTACCATTATGGAGTGACTCAAATTCAAGTGGGAGAAGCTGATTTCAGTGTACAGTAGGAATGGAAAGTTATACAGGATCAGGTACAGATAGGCTTTATCTTGCAAGAATAGTACAGGCTCTCCTCCCTTGTTTTGGGAATTCAGAAGGCCCCTGCCTAGAATCATGCTTGTCGCTCCTGCTGGGGTGCTGCCGTGGCTGTAACCCACGTATGTCTTTTTAGCTGTTTGTTATGGGACGTTGCAAACAGTTCCCTAATACAGTATGACTGTATCCCAGTGGCCATGAAATGCCTGCGCAAGAGCCAAGGAGTCTTGTCTTTAGACCAGCGAGTTGGGAATAAGTGTGCTTTCCCAGGCCTGGAGATTTTCTGTGCTTCTGCAGGTTGACAGTTGTGCAGGCAGTGTTTCACTTTGTTGCTTTTTAAAATGTATCATTAAACAAATTCTCTGTTTTTAAACAGTTAGGTTTTAGATATCCTTTTTCTATGTTTTTTATCTCGCTTCTTTTTTATTTAGAAAACATTCATATGGTGGATCCAAACTCCCTGAAAACTTCCCTAGCAAGTTGGTGTTGCTCATAATGTAGAAAAAACAAAGAATTTATAATTCAGACTTGAATAAAGTAATCAGTGAGCATTTGCTAATCATTACCAATACTTGATTGTGACACAATGCTGTTTTCCATAAGACATTTGATTGCTATTTCTTATTATTTTAGTTGGTAAAGAATCAAGTAATATTCCACCTTAATTCACTCCCGCGTTACATGATTGTCCAAAAAATATTTGCAGTACTGTAAAGCAAGTAATAAACTGAGCTTCTACCAGTAAAGTTGCTATGCCAGTACTATATTCATTTGCAATTAGATATTAAGGTATTCTTAGATATTCCGAGATACTAATAGCTTCTTGTACCCAGTGAAGCAAGAATCTTTATTATTTTGATTTACAGTTGTGTGCCATATAATCATTTTTAGACCTGTGAATAGTCTCTCCAGATTCAATAGACTGCTTGAAATGGAAACCATAGATTCAGAAGTAAATGACTGGCCCTGTGACATGACTTTACCATCATGTTAGTTCAGATACCAATTTATTTCTGGATATTGCTTTCGCTTGATGATCCAAATTTTCTAGCTAACCATTAAAGAAATTGTATTGAGTATTTCACATTACTTTTAAACCCTATTAGAGTCCATGTGGCACAACAGAGTTAGGCACTGAATCTGGAAATTTTTGGGAGACATATGTTCGGTGTTACCATCTCCAGCTCTACCATTGACTTACCTATTTCTCAGTCTTGGGAAAAAAATTACCTTTTTTTAGTGCTTCAAATGATACTGCTCTGAAACTGTTAGAGCAACACTTTTTATTTTTGTTAAGTGTTCTATCAGAAGAGCATAGAAAAATTTATTTTAAACCCTTCTAAAGTAGGATGTCGATCTTAAGTGGGCATGAGTGGCAGTGGGTGTTTCTGCAAGTGTCTTTGTTACAAATGTTTAACTGGGATGAGAACCTGAGAAGTACCGAACTGAGTGAGGCTAAACGTCCCTCTAGCCCAGTATCCTGTCTCCAGCAGTGATCAACAGCTGTTTAGGGAAGAGTGTAAAACGCTGGGCTGTAAATTGAATGACCCTTCCCATTGCATATCCAGCTTCCAGCCAGCTATAGCTTTGGGTTTTAGTGAGCAGATGCGTTCAGACCGTTACATTTAATCGCTACTGATCGGCGTGTATTCCATGTATTTTTCTATGGTTGTATTTTTTGCTTCATTTATACTTTTGCCACACACAACCTCTCATGAGAGTAAGTCCTGCAATTGTATTGTGTTGCATGAAGAAATACTGTCTTTTGTTTTGTAAGCCTCTGCCCAGTTATATCGTTGCCTCTTACTTGTGTTGTGAGAAACAGTGAAGGAATGACAGTTCCCTCTTCACCTTTTTTGCACAGTTCATGACTTGCTAGACCTTGATCATATGCTTCTTCAGTATTGCTCTCCAGAGAGCTGGGTTGAGTCCATTAATGTGTCCACTGGTCATATAGCTGAGTCTATTGATTCTGTGGTAAATGTGTGCTCTGTTGTCTCTGATCTGCACCTATAAAGGTACTGTCAGAGCGTTATCATCTTTTGGCTCTTTATTCTGTGGTTCCTTTTTCCCACGTTCAAAAATCAGCTCCCCCATTTGCATTTAAGAAGAGAGAGTGCCTGGGAATAGCCTCCCTCGGACACTTGGGTTGTACCAGAGGAGCCCATTCCCCTCCCCTTCGCTCCTTCCTTTCCTTCATGCTACTGAAGAGATGTTATGTGCTCCAAAGGCTTTACTTCATAAAGGTGCTATGAAGGATCATTTTGCAGCCTGGCAGCAGTAAGTGCTGAATTTGTGTCCACCCTGAAGCTCTCTGGGAAATTTTGCTGAGCTTCTGTTCATGTGATTTGCATAGAAGAAAGTAAGAAATTGCCTGAACCTAGATCCAGCAGTGCTCTGTGATCTGGACCAAGGGAGGGGGCTGCTGGGATGAGCTGTCATTTTCTTCTTCCTGGAGCTGCTGGCCTTTTCCAGAGTGTAATTTTTATAAGTTTGCATCATCAGTTCCTGATTATTAGTTCTTCTATGACGTATTGTATTGTAGATTCATAGTTTTAATGAATTTCCAATGTTGTTGTTTTACTTAGATAGAAACAGAAATTTATGAGGTTTCGGCTGTTGTAGGTGATTTTCTTTTCCTAAGCCACCTTCAAACTATATTGAAATTGCCAAAAAAGTTGTCTGTCTTTTTTAAGCTTGACGATTATTGATGGTTTCCTAACTTAAATGAATAGCTGACTTATTTCCTTAGCATAAGCGTTACCATTTTTTACGTTTTGAACATACTTTTGCCTTCCAATTTTGCCAATCTCTTTCAGGGTTCATAAAGAGAAGTCCATTATCAATAAGCTGGTTGAAAGGCATGAACAGACATTCCAGCTTTGTTCGGACAGTGGCCCTTAGGACTTTCCACCTGTGGTCTGCACATTAAGCTAACTCTCACCTTAGTGACTGTCTTTTATGGCTGTTTGGCTAGAGGTGGGATTTTTATAGAACAGATGCTATAACAAAAGCAGCTGTTTAAGATGATGTTGACAGCCATGGAATTGGTATGATTTCAAAATGCTTCAGTAATTGTTCACCTTTGAACAAATACATAAAGATGTCAGCTTCTGTGCTTCATTATTACTGTTTTAGAATTTTAAGCAAGAGAAACCACCTAAGCGTGGTGTTGTTGGGGATTATTGGAGTTGGAAAATGATGGGGACATTTTTTTAATGAGTGTGAATTAATAATTGTAATCTCTTTATTTTTGTCAAAGTGGTTTCATTTTAATGTTTAGTAGCATTTATAATGCATAGAGCTTGATTTGCTGCTAGGTTTTTAAAAAAATCTGCATCTGTAATATTTTTAACCTTTCCTTGCAGTGTTTGCTAGTTCTGAGCCTGTGCCAGGATTCCAGGGAGACACCCTGCAGTTAGCTTTCATCGACCTCAGACAAGTAAGACACTACTTGTTGTTTTTTATCCACCTAATTTCCCCTTTTGACCAGTGCTGAAGTTATTAAATTCAAGAACCTTTCATGTTTTAGCATTCCCATGTAATTAGTTTTGAAAAGCAGCAGTTATTTGAAGTGTTGTTAGTGGCACCATTCCCCGTAATGTAGTATAAAACTATTTCCCCAATCTGATGTTAGGGGGCACTGTGCTACTCGTGGCACTGGGTATAATGTTGAATTGGTACGGGATATAATGTTGAATTGTGGTCCTGACAATGTGTAAAGATCCTATGACGCTTTTTTGCAAGAGTATACATGTTACCCTGTTGTGCTGGCCTGATTCCATTATGAGCAATTGCTCCTGTCTACAAAACTACTCCCTGGAGAGTAGTATTGGGCATGGTATTATTTAGCATTTCCTTTCCTTAACTTGTTACATACAGTTCTTTTAAACTGTTAGAAAGCAGGTTTATTCCAACTGGCTGATCTCTATTCTATGTCAAATTTAATTTTAAATGCCTTTATATTGGAAGCACTTTTCCACAGATCTTGCCAAAAGGAAGGGTTTTCCAAACTAACTTCAACTTATCTTAATTTCACCTAGTTATTTCACCTTTTCTCTGTAAGTTCTGGCATTATGTCCAACCATAAGAATTCATTTTCATAAACTTTTCTTTCTTAAAGTAAACTTTTAGAAAGGATTTATTTATTCTCAAAATTGCAAGTACGAGTGTCATTTAAATAACAAAATGAATCATTAACTGCAAATGGAGAGGCTTTAGCGTTCTACAGACTTTGGTGATGTTTCTCAGCACCATTATGAGTCTACCAAAGTCATCAGAAAATAAGAGAAATGCAGAAAGAATTCCATACCAAATTACAAATATAGTCAGAATGCTTTTAATAGTATTCTCTCAGCAAGATAATTAAAAGGCATTTCAGAAAGGAAAATACCTGTGGCAACAGTATTTTGTAAATAATGTTCCAGTTTCTCCTAATAATTAGAAAGGACTTCATTAAAGTGTATTTTTCAATGAAAAAGTTAAAAGGTAGAGTTTATGTTAAATTCTCACAGGACTATAACATAGCAAACACTCTCTACAATGGGATAAGTATGGACTAAATGAAGAGGATATTGGATCAAGGCCATAAGGTTTGTTAATGTGCTACCTGTATATTAGGAATTCCAGAAGTCCAAAAACTGCTATTCAGTATGTGAAATCTACTCTGCCAGACTTAAAATACCAGAAGTCTTGCCTTGACTAGCAGCCTTCCTCTTTTGGATTCTTTTTCATTCTCTTTTTATTATCATTGTTAGAAGTGACTAAACATCTTCCAATTTGTGCTAAGCCAATCTAGTTGAAGGGAAAGGATGTTGAGAGATTTTGGCACTATTTCTTTCGTTCTTCTGAGTGCTATAAATCCTTGCAGGGCTTATGTTTCTTTCAAGGGAAAACGTTGATTTCCAGCCATGCAGGAGGGCAGGGTGTGTACATACTTGCTACAGGAAATAAATAATATTTTTGTATGTTTTAAGTACCAGCTGTCGAGCTTGTCACATAAATAGGGATTATGTTGCTTATGATAGTATTCAGTTTATGTTAGCAGCTTATATGTAGAATTCTCATGATGCAAGGAACAGTTCACTCTATGCCATGGGAATCTAATCGATTTCAGTTACTTTATAAACAGCAAAAGTTTGGGATAGCTATTTTTATTAGGTTGTGATTTGGGCTTGTAGATGTAGAACAGTTCTAGTTTATTTGGAGGATGGAGGCTCTATATGTTTACGTGCCTCACCAAAACCATATAGGTATTGCAAGTACACATTAAAAACAACATTTACCATTTAGTAAGGATTTGCAGTGTTTTTTCCCTCTCTCCCTTATTTGTGATCCATTTTTATCTTAATAGGGTGGATGACAGTTCTTTTCAAGAATACTTAGCAAGGCAACAGAGTCTTTTTCAGAAAGTTCTTATAAAAGGTCATGCTTCTGTTTTTTAGTTTGAATTTGATACTTCTTCATGAATTGCAGGATATGAAAGATAAGGAAGTAGGTCCAGTGGTCAGGTTTTACCTGCCCACCCGGACTGTGCCCTGAGGTCAAACTCCTGATATTGGCTGTTTGGTACAGAGGAGCTGATGACAGGTAGGGGCTGATACAAGGGGGAAAGCTTGAACCGTATCAAAGCTAAAAGGCAGGAGATTTGGGACTTCGTGAGAGACTGTAGCTAAAAGATGGATCAGCAGGATTGCCCTCTTGGTAAAAAGCAGCTGACCTGCAAAGGGAAAGACTTTATCGTCCTGCCAATCACATACTTGCTAATGGAAGCCAGTTATCTCAACAACAGCTTACTCTCTCTGTGTTGTACAAGGACAATGTCTAAGATTAATGAGTATTGAGCAGTAGAGTATTGTAGCACATTTTACTAAAGAAATAAACTGACTTACGAGGAACCAGCTTGGAAGGAGGAGGGGGAAGAACTACGCTTGCTTGAAAAGGGAGAGGGGAACAGGTAGCTGTTGGAAAAGAATTGCCACGGATGTTTTCATCGTAACAGTTCCTGATCCTCCATCTTTCCCGAGGCAATGTAGCATGTTGTCCTCCTGCAAGCTCAGATCTTTCCTTCTGATCATGATACTCCTTCCACAGATTTAGAAGAGTAATAAAGACATAATAAAGAGCTGCTTATGGGAAGAGAATGGTATTTAGTAGCAGAAAGGTGTAAGGGGCCAGGAATCATGAAGGGGCAGGCACTTCCCAGTGTCCCTTTTGATGAGCCACCTCTTTCTCTTTACACTATCCTCTCATTTACTTCTTGTAATACATAGCATACTCCTTAAGGGAGCTTAGTAATCTGAAGAAGCCCTAGTGAATAAAAATTTCTTGCTACTCCTGTAACCATGGTATCTTGGCATCCTACAGGAGTGACTTACATGATGTGCCTGGCCAGTCACACATGGCTCACTTTTTCTCCATTCTGTTTTCTTCTGCCAGGAGGAAAACTTTTGTGTGCATGGATTTCTTTCTAATTCTTATGTTTTGACTGAGCTCTATTGTATATTTTTGTTGGTAAAAATACAGCAAAAAACATCTTTCCTTGAAAAAGGAGAGTACCACAATTAATTTCTAAAGAACTTAAAAGTTTATATATCGAATGAAGTAACCTAGGAAAATGATCCAGGATAATTTCATATTTGAACAGTCTTTTCTGTGTGAGTGATTGACTTCAAAGGGAAGAGTGCATTTCAGTTACTCTATGTTGACTGGTACGTAACAAGCATAGTCAAACATGCACTTGGCTTTTACATTACAGTAAATCTTTGCATTCATAGTGGCCAATGGAATTTTCTCCAAAGGATATGTTTAACCATGCAGGGCCATCCCAAGGCTGGTAAGAGGCTGGTAAGAGTGGATTGTGCTGCACACCTGGGAAGATGAGTAGTGGCTATACAACCACAGAGTAACATAGACCACTTTCTTAGAAAGCTACCTGAAGTTTACTGAAAGAAGAACATCAGTTTAAGATAACAGAGGAGCACACGGTCATCTAGAAACTTGCAATTCCAGCTAGTTTAGCAGCTACTAAAGCAGCAAGCAGCTACTAAGAAAATCTGAATAGAAGCATGGTTCTATATAGCCGCTGTAGTTGTGTCTCATGTCACCTGTCTTACTCTATGACCTGAGGTGCATTTGCCTACATGCACCCTTTCACCCCACTTACTTAAAGCTATTGAGGGGCAGGCCGGCTTGCCAAGGAGATTATCAAAGTGGCATGTGATGCTTTTAAGAGAATCTTCTCTGGCATCTCTTGAAGATGACCCAGCCCACCTGCGACCTACATTGCTCTCTGAAGATAATCTCTTGCTACTAACTATATAGGGAATCTGGGTAAATAGCGCAATTGCCCAAAGTGAGGTAGAATGAACTTTGGGGATTTTGCTACCAGATCAGATCCTAGGTCAATTGGAATTAACCTTCATAAGTAAACAGGTCTTAGTTCCTCCTACTTGATTTAGTCCCTGAGGAAGCTCAGCCTCCTACATGAATTAATTTTGTCCTGGTTATGATCTGTTCTTTAGTGGCTAAGACTAGGGTTACAGTTCTGGAATGAGAGGCAATTTCTTGGGTGTCCTGGACACCTAAACATTGTGAGGAAAAGACCTACATCTTAAAATTTGTGCAATATTCAGTGGAGAAACAGTGTAGTGAGCAGTGGACAAGCACGATAACCTTATCCTGTTATATTTTGTGTTAATCATTGCTTTCCTAGGGCAAATTGCATAATTCTTAACCAACCGGGAGGCAGCAAATGTCTGTTTGTGAAATCCATTCATTGTCTGCAGAGAAGACTTACACATAAGCTGCAAATTTAATTTGACTTATTTTAATATAGACATTACAATTTCTTTTCTAGCATTCTCCTCTGCCATGAGCACTACTTCTGTTTCAAATAGGCTTCTTCCTCTGCTGTCTCATCTCATACAAGTACTAAACTGGCTTGATGATTGAGGCATTTTCTTATTTTGTCAGAGGTGAAAAGAACTCTCATCTGTGTTTCTTTGGCACTTAAGGATATGCTGATATCCTCCAGTTGCTCTCAGTGATGGGCCTGCAACAAGAGCAGTTTTCTGAAGTGAAGCATAGTCGTATGCTGTTGGTAACTCCAGAGCTGAGCAGTCATCACGGCAGCATCTCCAGCCATATAGAGTTTACAGTCCGCTAGTGATACGTCCCAATCTATGAGACCAAATTCCTGGGACAGTAAGGTCCATAAATTCTGCCTGCATGTGGGAGGAAATTCTCAATGTTTTGCAGCAGTTTCTGTTAAGATTTTGTTAATATTAGACATAGATTAGACATAAAAACGTAGTGCAATCAGTGCAGTTAATATACAAATTAATTGCAGTATTGCATGCAACAGGTGTAATTTTATTTCAAGGAGAAAATTCTTTTTAGTGTCTTAATACAGTCCTCTTTTTTCTTCTGCTGCACAACTTC